ACACCTCGTGATCACACAGGCTGGTGTGCTTCTTCCATGTGGGCTTTGTTGCTTTTGAGCTAGATGGCCGCTTGTTTATCTTCAAGCTCTGAGACCCCAGACACTGTATCTTTTGATAGCCAGGCACCGTCAGCTTTCTTTACCCATGTTGTAGATTCTTCATGATTATTTCAACTGGTTAACATAGTTCATGTACCCTACATAACCTTCTGAATAAGTAGGTGGTTTTCTTTGTTTTGCTATGAGAGGTAATTCCATAAGGATTCTTTATACATTTGGTGTTCGCTTTTTAAAAATTATTTGTCAGTATTTTTGACATTTTAAATTTATTTAGTGGATGCTTATTGCCTTTAGTATGTGCTAAGCAATTTTCTAGGCACACAATATTGAGTAAAAAAGTTCTTGCTTGCATCTTCATTCTAGTATGGGCAGACGGAGATAAACTATCAAATGAATCACATACTGATAAGGGGTACAAGAAAAGAATAAAGCAAGATAATGAGAAGAAAGAGATCCTGTTTTGCATGGGACAGTTGGGATAGACTTCTGGAAAGGTGACATTTGAGCAGAGATCTGAACTAGGAGAATGAGCAATGTGAATTTTTAAGGGAAGAGCAGAGGAGCAGAAAATGAAAAGGACCTGTGGTCTTGCCATACCAAGAACATAGCCAGTTTTCTCCTGTGGTCCTGTAGGGTAAGCGCTGGGCTGCTAGCTGCAGGATCAGTGGTTCACACCACCACTGTTCTATGCAAGACATTTGAGGTTGTGCTCCTGTAAACATTAATAACCTGGAAGACCCTGTAAAGGGTTGCTATGTTTTGGAATCGGCTTGATGGCAGTGGGATCTAGTTGAACAGCACTCCCCACCACTGATAAAAGATGACTTCTCTGGATTGTGGTTCAGAAGAAGATAATCATGAGAAACTATCACTGTGCTTTGAGAACCAATCACTGTGGTTGAGAGTCCCAGAAAACAAATGCACATGCGCATCCTACTTATCAAAAGTATCAAGACTAAGCTCTGATATTCAGAATTTGTTAATTATCAACTCTTTTTTTTATGTGTAGACATTCATTAAATGTTTAAATTCTGTTGTTGAATTGATTTCTGTTAGAATTTAGTATCTTAACCAAGACAGTTTTACCATCTTTGTGAAGAGTGGAAGTAGTTGGCAATCAAAGTTATCAAAGTGCCACTCATCATTCATAGAAGTGAATCTTCTTTAGAGAAGAAATTTATCAATGGCAATAATGTGTATGTTTAGTGTTCTTTTTGTTTGTAAAGCAAGTGCACTCAGTAGTTCATTTTCGTTTCAGCGGGAAGCTCTAGGACAGACTGTGGTGTTCTTTCGCATTGCGAGTTGAAGGGACTGGGAGTTAGTGACCTGGACTTCCTTTTTCAGACTCACCTTTCTGTTATCCTTTTCTTTGTTCATCACAATTCAAAGCCCTGGTGAAATAGATCTTTGGGAGTGCATGGAGCATCCAAGAATGTATTGTTTCTTTTTATTTAGACTAAAGCAAATCTTGTTACCCCAAGAAATGGGGAGCCACTGATTGCTGCCATTCAGGATTTTCTAACAGGTGAGTTTGTCACTCCAAAGGACCTTCTAACTATGGAATACAATAACTATTGTAAAGTTTTGTCTAATGACCTGACAGACTATTTAACTGCTGTTTTAAAGTTTGTTGTTTATTTACTAAGTCTGCTTAAGATTAACATATATACTCAAGTATAAGCCACTCCAAATATCAGGCGAGGCACCTAATTTTACCACAAAAATGGCATTAAAAATGTGCTGACAAAATTCGGCTTATACATGAGTATATACGGTACTTTTGGTGGTCTGATTTTCAGTAATTTGCTGAACTCCTGCCATGGCCAGGAGTTTTCTGGTCAATGGAGAAACCCAAACCAAAAACCAGCTGCTTTCAAATCAAGGCTGATTTATGACAACTTCATGAGTGTCCTAGTAAAACTGTGCTTTAATGGGTTTTTAATGGCTGAGTTTTGACTTCAGCTGCCAGCCTGTCAGTTAGCAGCTGGGTGTGTTAACCTTGTACTCTTCAGGGATTCAAAGACCCTGTAAATCTAGAGCTTAGCTTTTATTGGAGGAGAAGCCAATAAGTTGTTGTATGAGGAAACTTCAAAAGTTCCAGGAATTATTTCATTATCTTTTAATTTTACTTTTCCATCAAC